CGTTGATCCAGACGACGTGTATAAGCTGATTGAGATCGAAGGAAAGGCGCGCCGAGCTTACAGCCGATGGCGAAGCATCTGTGTCGCCCTTGAGGACATAAGATGAAACGTTGTTGAAAAGAAAAGAAACCGTTATTTGACCATACTCTCGGAAATTTTTGCAGCTGCGTGCTCTTACGAATACTGCGTCCTCCGACGTTGGTGTGCAACGCCTGCCTTACCAGCTACAAAAGCCCCTATTCGATTCTGACGTCTCCACCTACCTACGATTATCGCCAAGCTTGCGAGCAACCCTGAGTTACTCGTGTGCTATACAGTCTGCTTTTGAAATGAGGATAACTTCTTCATGGCAGTCTTGGCCCAGGCCTATCGATACTCATGTGAAAGCGCCATTGAGGACGATACAGTCTGAGGCTTCAAGCCCGAAACTTGAGCCTTCGCCGGCGCCCGCCTAGGTGCATTGCAGCGACATTGAACGACTGCGGGCTGCAGCATGAGTGGTGCGACGGTCGCATTGCTGTTGCAGTGTTGCTTCTCGGAAAAAGTACACGGTATGGAGTTTCGAAGCGGATGATTCGTATGGGCACTACCATCTGGAGGTAAGAAACACAGTAACCTGTACAAGGAATCGGTGAGCGCCGAAGCAGAGGATTACGCACGTTCTTCGCTTTCGGACTCACCATAGTGCTGGCGGCTTCCTATTGGTCGCTTCAAATTTAGATACCCATGCCGGGTTTTTTCCATTTCCGCCTCAGCTCTCTCCACACAACATCGCGCTAGGATCCAGATTTGGGGGCGGAGACAAGCAACTCGGTGCGTTTCTGAACGCGCCGAGTCAGAAATCACCGACGGCATTGCATGATCACGATAAAACAACGTCAAGAACCATGGGATGAAAATTAGCCACGAAGATCACCATATCAAGAATGCTTTCGGGAGTTGCACTAATCACAGAAGCCGGATCTGGTACGTTTTCTTGTTGCTATCTTTGCATTATTATGGCTTGCAAAAAGTCTGTAGCAAAGGAGATAGAAGGCTAATACTGCGTTGCAGGCTTCGGCCAGAGCGCCGCATACTCGCTGGCCCGCAATGGTGTTCAACAATTTGCCCTTGTCGACACCAACGAGGCTGGACTGCAAGAGACAACGCAGACGCTAGCATCGCAGTACAAGGTGACAGACGTGCTGAGTGTCTCCACTCCATGCAGTACGGAAGAGTCCGTCGAGGCTGTCGTTCAACAAGCCGCGTCACGCTTCGCTCGTATCGATTTCGTCATTCTGAATGCCGGCTTCGGTGGGCCCATGGGCGGCAGTCCCGACACGGCACCCGCCGCGTTCGATACCCACCTCAAGGAACACGTGACTGGTGTCTGGCTCTGGCATCGGGCCGGGATACGGCAAATGCTGCGACAGGAGCCGCGCGACTCGCGATATGGCCGTGGCAGTATCGTGCATGTCTGCTCAGTGCATGCCTTTGCCGCTTCACCCCCTCAAGTCGCTGCTGGTGCATATGTAGCGGGTCGACATGCTATCCTCGGTCTGACACGTTCTGAGGGCGTGCTGTATGCACCCCAGCAGATTCGTATCAATGCGCTCTGCCCTGGGTACATCATGTCGCCGCTCATCGCGTCCTCGGAACAGACCAAGGCTTTCATCGATAACCTCGTGCGAGAGCGTGTGCCTGCAGGCCGGCTGGGAGATGCTGAAGAGGTTGCTGATGCTGTTGTGTTCTTGGCTGGGCCCATGAGCAGCTACATGTTTGGTCAGTCATTGGTACTGGATGGGTATGTATTGTTCAATCTTTACGTGAGAAACTATGAAACGCTGACTAGTGATAGGGGCTATCTGGCTCAGTGAGAAGCCACGGTGCTATAGGGCAATAAGAGATAATACATACGTACCTCAACTTCTTGTCCGAAGACGTATATCGTGCCGAGTGCATGTGAAGTGCTCTCTTCTAATGGTTCAACCACTACTTCCGAGGATATTGCTAACACAGATTGCCTGCTGCACCGTTGCTCAGCAGTGAGCGCGCTTTGAGACGGCCAATACATGCGCGCACTAGACTGAGATTTGCGCGGACGAGGTCAAGACAAGCTGGCGCGAAAGCCGCTTTTCCGTTGGGCGTTCCGTTCGTTCCCTTGTCGGGAGAAGAGGCGTTAGATGGTGACGATTCAGATGTGACGAGGGCGGCTTCGAGAGAGCCTAAGACGGCTGAGAAGCCTGTCAGGCGCAACGTCATCAGTTCGTTGCTGAGCGCATCGGCTTCGTCGGCAGCGAGATCGTAGTTGCCGAGGGAAAACTTCCAAGGCTGATTGGCATGCGGGCTCTCGACAGTGTTGCTGGTGTTGGGCGGGGGTGTACTTGTAGTCGTGGTATTGCCGTTGCTGGAATCCGTGGATGCTTCTGCGACGGCCTCTTCATGAAGATGCCATAATCGACACAGCCAGTCGACCAGATGAGCGCACAGGATGGTGACGGCAGTGAGTGGGAGTCGTTGTTGGCGACATCGTTCGCAGCTCAGTACGGCGAGACATGGTCGTTCTGCTTCAGAGGTGACTTGGAATGCGGTTTCGAGTGGTACTTGCGACGAAGTGGTGTATTCTTCAACGCGCGCGAGCGTTCGCAAAGCGAGAAAAGCACATCCACAGTCAACGCGATGCATCTTTGTCTGGTCGTCCGGGTATCGTGGAAACAGTCCTGACGGTATAGTCGTGAGAGTTACAGTATATTATACTTGCGATTTCTCTCATTCGTGGGAGTATCTTCGTGAGAGTTACATCTTATGGCGTCACCTTCGCATGGGAGCCCTGTCACTATCGGGTGTCGGATGTCACCTAGCGAGCTCGGTGTGTTCTGAGTCAAGATCCCGAGGGGGTGGGTACCCGTCAGCCCAGTAAGATACAGTGCTTATCCTCAGGTAGCGGTACTATATCGACAACTCGATAAGGTATAGCATCATTCAAACGCTCAACACCAATAATGCGCCGAAGATCTTGGATGGTACCGGGCTGACTGTGTTCGGAAGTACAAACAACGTAGAAGAGTTGATTATTTTCACCACCCCGTCACCCCATCACCCCATCACCCCATCATCCAAACCTTTCGCAGACTTGATCTCAGAGCTGAGAATCTTACAACACCCTCGTACTGCATTCACCCAACATGGCTCCTTACGACAGTCCCGCAATTGCCGCAGGCTCCACCGTCCTTGTAACAGGGGCCAACGGTTTTGTTGGCGCTCATGTCACAGACCAGCTTCTCCAGCAAGGCTACAAGGTGCGAGGCACAGTCCGCGACGCCAGCAAGCACCAATGGCTCGCAGATCGTTTCTCGCAACAGTATGGCGACAACAAGTTTGAACTCGTGACTGTCAAGGACATGAGAGAGCCTGGCGCGTTCGACGACGCGGTGTCAGGTATTCCCACCGCCTAAACACAACACCGTTTCATCACTGACAAGTCTTACCGTCCAGGTGTCTCCGGAATTGTGCACGTTGCCTCAGTACGGGACATGGGTGTCACACCAGACGAATTGCTCCGAACCACCGTGGCCGGAACTCTGGGCTGTTTGGAAGCCGCGGCCAAAGAGCCCAGTGTGAAGCGCTTCGTGCTGACGTCGTCTTCAGCTGCGGTCCGCTCGCTGCAAGCATACCGAGGGACTGACACAGTGTCTGCAGATGAGTATGACGAGCAGACGCTGGCCTTGTCTAAGAACATTCCAGATTCGCTTCCACCGATGCAAAAGTTCATGATCGCGTACTTTGCTTCCAAGGTCGCGGCCGAACAGGCATTCTGGGAGTGGATCAAGAACAACAAGCCGCACTTCTCTGCCAACGCAGTGCTGCCTTGCACTATCTACGGCAGTCCGCTAGACGTGGCCCACCAGGGCTTTCCGTCTACAGCGCGTATTCCGCTCCAGATCTTGGACGGCGATACTGACTCCATCAAGCATGTACAGCGTTGTATGTAACCCCTGCTCTTTCCAAATGTGCAGCGCAAACAACAGCTAACACTAGCGCAGTCTACTATGTCCACGTCCAGGACGTCGCTCGTCTCCATGTTGCCGGCTTGATCAACCCAGCCGTCAACGATGAACGCATCTTTGCTTACGCTTCGTCTTACTCAATCAACGAGTTCTTTGACATTTTCGCAAAAGCTGTCCCAGGTTACAAGCCGCGAGACAAGCTCGAGGGTCTAGATTTCCCGTTGGCGGAGATCGGACCGCGAGCTAGGGCGGAAGCACTGTTGAAGGAACTTGGCCGGCCGGGATTCATGGGGCTGGAGGAGACAATTACTGATAGTGTGAAGACACGTATCAGTGCTTCTTCGTAGCTTTAGCGGACGATAATGGAATAGTGTACTGCAGTTCGCACTTGAATGCCAGATGAAGAAGGCGAAGCAACGGATCTTACCGAGTGCCTTCGTATCCTCATGAGTACTTGCACGTGTGCTATGCGATGATAAGGTAATGACGTTAGATCCGGGGTTGTTCCGGGCAGAGAGAAGGTGTTGTAGACACCCAGGTACCTAGGTACTCACGATACTGTACTGTGCGATGACGAGCGATCGATGAGGCTCTCGCACTTGGAGTCGTCCCCTGACCCACTCGGGCCGAAATCTCCAAGCGGGGCACCACGCTCTTATTGGCTACCACCGCGCACGTGCCGTGAACTCCGAGCTTCCAGCGGCGGCCCCCACAGGTGGCAGGACCTGCCTTTTCTCCTGTCACTTCAGCGGTGTCGCAGATTGAGCGGCAAACATCCCATCAACGTCTACATCCGATCCATCAAATGGAGTCCTCGCAATAGCCAGTAGGACAGGGCAGATTTGATGGCAACAGAAACACCCAAATTTGCACGAAGTAGACACCAGATTCGTACCAGAAACAAAAGAGATCAGATTACTTCATACAAGGATGGAACCCCACCGCTTTTCCTTCGTACACTAACAAGACAAAACGCCGTTCCCACCAGAATTACTATCTGAAAACATCATTCGCTCATGAAGACTCCTCCTTCGCCTCTTCCGCCAACGCCTCGCGCATCGACTTGCTGTTGGGGTCGAAGTAGGGCTTCTCTCCAATACCGCACACGCGGTATCCGAAGCGGTTGCCGTGATCGTCGTAGTCCATGGTCGCGTTGTGCACCATGCTGCGGTTGTCCCAGATGGCCATGTCGTTTGGACCTTGCCACCTGAAGCGGCACTGCAGATCGTGGTTGCGGAGTACCATGTCCATCAGCCAGTTCAGGATCATGTCGCTCTCTGGCTGAGTCAGGCCGTTGATAGACTCGGGCTGTCGTCTAGTTAGTGGATGTATGGCTTGGATGCTGGAGCTAGACATACGTATGCACCAATGGAGAAGACACTCTTCCACCCGGTGACGGGGTTTGTGCGGATGACCGGGTGTACGGCCTTCAGAGGGTTACCGGTGTTCTCGGGGTGGCCACGCGCCTCTGTGTAGACCTGGAGCTTCGAGTTCTTGATGATCCGTTCGAAGACTGCGGAGAGACTTGTTAGAGGGCACGAAGTTCGCTAGCAGCTGGCAGACTTACATGGTGCGGTGTAGTTTGCCGTCTTCCCTTCAAGCATCTTCCGCATGGGCTCGCTAATGCGGTCATAGACCTCATATCCAGATGCCCACAATGTGTCTCCTCCACAGGTGGGTAGCTCCACAAGTCTCAAGCATGTGTAGTCGGAAGGCACCTGCTCGGACTGGATGTCGCTGTGCCACGACTCAAGCGCCTGTCTTACATTTCCTAGGTCACGAGGTACGGCCTTGCCGTGGGCCATGATTCGCTGACGGGAGTTGATGGTGCTGATGTGCAAGTCGTTGCCACCCATCGGGGTGTTGGGGTTGAGTACGGGGTGTATGTGCAGGGTCGACTCCTTCGGCTTTCCCACTAGCTCACCCATACGTTGGATGAGCTGCTTCTGGAGATCGTTGGTCATGTCGTTCTGATTGCGGAAGAAGACGACTCCACGTCGCGCGACTAGAGAGAACACATTCGTCAGCTCTGTCTTCTCGAAGGTAGCGGTTTGCGCGCTTACTCGTGATGGCGAGGTCTCTGAGAAGCTCATCCGAGTTGGGTGCGTTCAGCATCTGAACGAGATTCGCCTCTGGAAACTCGGTGCCCACTGTAGGCGTAACTAAGAATTGCTTCAAAGGCTTGAGGACGCCCTTCAGTTTCTGTGGCTTCGGGAACGGTGTCTCTTGAGCATATCCTCGGCGCAGGCATGGTGAACGAGCTGGTTGCAGTGCGGCGAGACGGAGCGCTGGCGCAGCGCGGCAAAGCAAGGTACTGGCGGTTCTCGACATTGTGACTGATGAGGTATCTACTGACTGAAAGCAGAGGATAATGAGAAGCAAACGACGATTGATTCTATGAAAGCAGTCTAGCTACTGTAATAATAGATGCCATGGGACCCCATCTGGACTCGGATAACCGAAGAGACCGAAAAGTCGGCGCATTTTGCTTACTCTACTGTGGTAGCCGGGGCATATGTTCGATGTGGTACGAGCTATGAACCACGATCACCAACATATCAGCTCACACAGCTATCTTGGAGACGTCATCGTTTCTGCCTTATATCCATGCATACTTCACCCAGGGTGCTGCTTTACCTAGGTAGGCTTAACTTTGTACTCGCAATCTGGGAAATACCGCGAGTACAGTATCTCTAGTCTACAATCCACGTGCGGACAGCATGGGAGAGCGACCCTCATCGGTGATGCACGAAGACCCACAGTGGCCGGTTGCGTGTCGTCGCTCGGAGCATTTGTGGAACTTCGGGCCGAGCCCACTGCGGGATATTTTGAGTACCTGAACAGCGAGTACACATCCGATAGTCCACCACCGGCAGTTGCGATCGCGTACCATGCTAATGTTTTCGTTACTCACCGAAGGCTCAATCGCTGGATCGAATCGATCAAAGATGGCACTACACTACTTCGGCCGGCCTTCTCAAACACCGAGAATGGCATAGTATGCTGAAGCCGGATCTTGTGTTTTCGGCAGTTCGCGTGCGTTCAAGAGGTGTCGTTTCTGTCCATAGGCATATACTCTCCGTGCAACTTGAAGGTTTTATCCTGGAACGTACAGACTTTGCACGGGATTAAGCTCCATAACCTCTTTCATTCTCCTTTCCAGCCACATTCCAGAGAATACAACATCACTTAGCAGCTATGGCAAAGAAACTAGCTGTTATCACCGGTGCGACTGGCAACCAAGGTGGTTCCATCGCTCGCGGGTTGCTCAAGTCTGGTGACTGGCAGATCCGCGCAGTGACCAGGAATCCGAGCGGAGAGAAGGCCCAGAAGCTTGCTGCGGAGGGCATGGAGGTCGTTCAAGGAAGTTATGACGATGAAGAGTCCATTAGGAAAGCCTTCACAGTGAGTCTTCATTGTCTTCGCTGATGTCTTGACCAAGAACTGACATGGAGGAAGGGCGCGCAAGCCATCTTCGCCGTGACTCAGTGGTGGGAACCTTTCTTCAAAGGCGCCAGTCAGTCTGAGGCCGGTGAGATCGAGAAGCGCGATGGCATCATGCTCGCGAGATTGGCCGCTGAAGTAAAGACATTGGAGCATTACATTTGGAGCACACTTCCTGCGGCAGACGAAATCACCAAAGGCAAATTCCCTGTCCCTCACTTCGACTACAAAGCCAAGGTCGACGATCACATCCGGAAGAACATGCCAGAGCTGGCGGCTAAGACCACCTTTCTCATGTTTGGCTTCTATCCGTCCAATTTTGCTTTCTTCCCCATGTTGAAGCCACAGCCAGTGGTAAGTGACCATCTTTAACATACGGCTTGTTAACATGACTAACAAATTTCCGTTAGGCCAGTGCGCCGGGGAAATACGTTTGGATGGTCCCGTCAACTCCATCCACCGTTTACCCCATGGCCGGTGACATGGCCAAAGACCCAGGTGTTTGGGCGCGCCAAATCTTGGCGAACCCCAAGTTGACGCATGGTAAATACGCCGGTGTCTGCACCGAGGTTCTGTCCCTTGGAGAGGCGCTCTCGCAGTGGGAAGAGGTCTCAGGCAAGAAAGGCGTATACGTGGAGTGCAAGCCAGAAGTTATCGGTAGTTTGTTTGGCCTGGCCGGACAAGAGGCTGTCACAGGTGTTGTGTTTGGTGAAGCAGTGACGGACTGGTTTGGGCATGTTAAGGAACAGGGTCTTTTCATTACTAAGGAGCAGTTGGGTATATCGCCCGATGAGGTTTCCAACTTCAAGCAAGCTCTTGAGGCGGTAAAACCATTCTTGGGCTGAACAGTACTTGTGTTTCAAGCCTTTAACTACTCTTGTGTTCACCCAGTCTATATTTGGCAAGCATCTACTTGCGTGGTGAATGGAATTGCAGAAGGTGTGAGTAAGTATGAAGTGAGGGCCAGCCAGATCAAGGGTCAGCATAAACGTCTTCTATGTGCATTACCTTCAAGGTTATCCGGAAAGTGAAGCAACATAGCAAATGCACAAACCGTAGTCAATTCGAGTCGGCTGTTCTCGTTCACTGAGTAAGACGCCAAATCTTACTATCGTAGTGATAGCCGATGTCTCCATCCACATCCCGAATATCCTTTCCTTGACGAATACTTCACGTGATTAAGTCAACAAGACCAACAGTTTGAAGCCCTGCGATCGAAGGTGCGAGAAGAGTTGAACCGGTCCGTTTCGAATGGGTTGATCAGGGCGCCTTCGCCTCTTAAAACAACAAGTCTCCACTACCCACGCAACGAGCGGGTCCTCGGAAAATCATCAGCATCCAAAGCAGGTTCACGTACCCTGAACATGCGAGTCAAACATCGGGCCCCTGTGTGTATGCGCTGGTATGAACGACGAGGCTGTGGGTGCAGCCGAAAACGGCCCTTTGTATATGTCCCCTTCGCCCGCCAGTCTCCACGAGAGCCTGCTCGTGCACCCAATTGGCTCAACGTACCGAAACTTCGGCCCGAACTCTATGAGGCTTTGGCTATTGTATATCTTATCTCTGAGAAGCTCTTGATGCAACCGAACAAGGCCCTTCTCAGAACACCTTCCCCGTTCGCAAGTCTCCACGCGGTGCTGCCAAGTTGAAGGAACGAAGCACGAGCGCAATCTAGCGGTACGGGCCTTGAGAGTGCGTCAATTTCGATAGTGTTAGGTAACGTGGGATGTATGATGACTTTTCATACGACGACGTTGCTCTGTTGAACTCCGCAGCAGTCTTTTGGTCGTCAACAAAGGCGCCAGGGTAGTGGAGAATCGGTACCCGATCTGGATGCATGCTGCACCTCCGGTGATGAGCCGAGCGACACTGTTGCATGCATCGCCTCGAGCCATACCATATCCCAGGCATATGATATGCATTGATTTGGACGCAAATGACACATATCCCGAGGACGTTGGAGGCTACACCGTTTTTCGCGCTGACATGTATGACATGCATCGTTCCGAGCCGTGCTTTAGTGTAACCACGATCAGCTCTCGCCATGTTCTTACAATACCAGTACTATGGTACGACCCAAAAGGCCTATGTATAAGCCGGAAGTGAGAGCCCGTCTTACTTACTATGTAAAGAAGCAGGCGAGCCCTGGAGTGTATGTCGGATGTGGGCCACTGGCAAGGGTCTGTTGCAGCTAAGCCGATTGGGATGCTTAGTTCACGTAAGGTAGTAACGCTTAGGGTCTATCCGAAGTCACCCCAGATCGCGAGATCTTACCTGAAAGGTGTATCCACACACACAAAGCTTTTGCATACCATCACAGTACCAAGGCAGTTCGAGGTAGTCTCAGCGCGTACGTGTTATCAGCTGAAACCGATCCGAAGTCCCTCCAGATCAACAGCTCTTAGCGGCCCCACCCAGGATACTCTGGTCTGATAGTATGGCCGGTATATGTATCGCAACATCGCTATCGCCTTCTGGCTACCGAAACAAGCGTCAACGTTGAATAAAGTATGCAAGACAACGATTCCAGCGCCAAGAGCAGCGCGCCAGCGCCAAAACCCACCAAGTACCGCCTTGCCTGTGATAGCTGTCAACACTCCAAGATCCGATGTGATCAAGAGCGGCCGAAATGTCGCAGATGTGCGAAGAAAGGCATAGAGTGCGTCTATAGCCCGGCGCGACGAGCTGGGCGACCGCGCACTCGCAACAACAGCAAGAGCTCCACCGGCATCACTACCAGCGCAACTGCGAGCCAGAAAGGGTATCTGACGCCCATGACGGAGACCGGCATTACCATTCCGACCTCAGGTGAGGTGTCGCCATTTGCTCCATTCAGCCTGGCATCCACCTCAGAGAACTGCTCCAGCTCCAGTTCCAGCTCCGACTCCAGCGCATCCACCATTCCCGGCATGGCGCAATCTACGGACTTATCGAGCCCCGATCGGATGGAATTCTCGCCATATCGACATTCAGACGACGATTTCCTGCAAGGTCTGCCAGATTTCATCGGTTCGCAATGTGGCACACCCAAGCAAACAGCCAATTGCTATTACCCAATGTCTCCCGATTTCCACATTGCTCCCGAGCTTCTCGACATGGGGTTCTGTGGAGCGCCATGGGAGCAGCAGCAACGAGAGCATGAACAACACCAGTCCGATCCTTCGACCATGCTTCTTGCCGAAGGGCTACCGTACTTTGGTTTGCTGACACCAGACGGTCATCAGCCATGCTATCATCCGGATCAGCAATATGCGAACACGCCAATGCCGACCACAAGTAGCAAAGGCTTCGATAACTGCGGCTACGTGGTCCCTCCACAGCAGCAAACACATCCACAATTCCCGCAACCCTCAGACGACATCTCTCTTTCGCCTAAGTCATGCAATTGCGTGCCCACCCTCCTCGACCATCTATCTACATCCTCGTATTCGCCCTCCTCATCACCCATCGCCTCCACCTCAGCCGCGCTCTCCACCTCGAGAATGCTCATAACCTGCTGTTGCAACACGATGGCGTGCCCCAACGCATGTTCGACGCGCCCTTCGACTGCGCTCGTCATCTGTGAGGCTATCGACCGAGCACTTGTTTCGCTCAAACTGGGCGGCACTTCCCTCTGGACACCGACACTGGCATCATCACCAAGTTGCGACAGTGGCGCATCTTCACCACCGTCTTCATCGTTATCGTCATCAAGTACAACAGGTGGGACTTCAGTGATAGACGAGGAGCACGAGCCGCTACGCTGCGGAACACTGCCGATCAGGGGCGCCGACCGGCGGGCCGTAGTGCGGGTGCTACTAGTGAAGCGAGTGTTGGAGGCCCAGCGGGTCCTGGAACGCCTAAGGGATGCCTTATTGTCGGGTTTACTAGTCGATGGGGAGGCGGCGGCGGTGAAGAATCCTCTTCTGGCACTGTGTGCGGATGTTGCGGGGGAGTTTGCGACGAAGGTGGCGGAAAGGGTGGAGACTGTAAAGCTACAGATGTAATGGGTAAAGACTGGCGCAGGGAGTATAGGAGTCATTGGCCTATGACTGGGCAGGCTACAATGACGGAATCTCTTTTAGTTGTCGATAGTTCATCAAGCGATTGCGTTTCGTGGCGTTCGTGCCATCTTCCATGAAGTCAACACTACTATTGCACCCTGTTCTGCCCAACGTGACGCCATCTCCCGTGCGCGTACACTACTCTTGCTCATTGTGAAGTTCAGGTTGCCTAAACACGTATGCATAGCCATGACGATAAGCCCTGATTGCTTCACGGTTTTCGTGGATGAGACACAAGATAGTCCTCGATAGGTCGATGGCTCGGTTTGTTTTCTCTTTCGGGGGTTACTATCAGCCAAACGACAACAGATAGCGCGGTGTTTTCGAGTCCAGATCTTCAAACAGTCGTCACTACTAAACCACGTTACCACTCCCCCGGTACGACGATCTCGGCCACCGATGATACGAACGACTCTCAATGATTCACAATGTACCGAAGAAGCACAGGCAATGTCGAGATGTGTCTGTGCTGTCAAAGTACGTATAACTTCATAGTTCCTGGTCGCAGAGTCTTGTATCTCATCATCAACGACCTCTACACCAATTCATCAGTGAAGAGTTTACGACCATGTCTGCCATTCCGTTTCTGTCTGAACCTTCAGATGCAGGTTATGACGAAAATGTCGAAGCCGACAACATCCTTGATGCTCTCGAGACTCTGGCCGCCGGCCACATCCCCGCCTCTCTTTACAAAGACGAGGAAAAGCGACTTCGATTTCTCGAAGCTGCCAGGATGGCCTCTCTCAAGCTCGAGCAACCATGGGACACTATGCAGCGCCTGATCTTTTGCGCACTGCCACCCAACATGGTGCAAGTGGGCATCGATCTGGGGCTGTGGAGACTCCTTGCTGCGCGGCAGGGTACGGCGATGAGCGTGAGTCAACTGGCTGCCGAGTTGGGCGCTGAGGAGGCACTGCTAGTGCGAGTGCTACGATATGCAGCAACGCAGTGGATGGTGGAGCAAGTCGGAGTGGAGACGTACCGGGCCACAAACATCACGCGATACCTAGCCATGTCAGGGCTTGAATCCGTGATCTTCCACGTGTGAGTACCACTGGACCTTGATTCTGAGGCTTGTAACTAATTTACTTTGCAGAACGGAGAGGAATATCGCAACGTACAATGCGATACCAAAGTGGATGGCGGACAATGGCTACAAGCAACCGCTGGACAACAAGCATCTTCCGTTCAACTTGGGCAAGAACACGGACCTGCACTTCTTTGAGTGGCTATCGCAGCGACCCCGTCATCAACAAGCCTTCAACGAGTACATGTCGTTTCAGCGAGTGGGGCAGAAGAGCTGGCTCGACGTGTTTCCGCTCGAGAAGTACGTGCACGGCTCCACTACGGGAGATAACCACCGAACTCTCTTCGTGGACGTCGGTGGAGGATACGGACACCAGGCTAGGGAGGTGTTGAGGAGATTTCCCCAGCTGCAGGGACGTGTTGTGCTGCAGGACACGCACGCGGCGGCCATCGATTCTGCAAAGAGTATTGAGGGACTAAAGGTTGTCCACCATGACTTCACACAGCCACAGCCAGTCAAGGGAGCGTGCGTCTACTACCTACGCAACATCCTGCATGACTGGCCTGATCAGGCCTGCTACAACATCCTTTCTCAACTCAAGGACGCTCTTGCTCCTGACTCAGTCATCTTGCTGGACGAGCTTGTCATCCAGGATGAGGGCGCGCACTGGTACGGCGCATCGTTTGATTTGCTGATGATGGCCAATTATGGGGCACAAGAGAGGTCATTGGCTAAGTGGGATCGTATCTTGAAGGAAGTTGGGCTGGAACGGAAG